ACTTTTTCATTCGAATTCATTTTGTCAAGGAAAACTACGTTTGAATTTCTCAAATTTGAAATTTGGATTTTTCAAACGATTTCGGATGAAGAAACAACCAAAATAAAATTTATAGATCTCGAAAAGTTATGAAACTTTATAGTTGACAACTTTTTGATTTGAAATCATCTTGTTAACGAAAACTACATTTGAATTTTCAAAAATTTGAAATTTGAATTTTTTAAACGACCTCGGATGGATAAATAGGAAAAATGAAAGTTGTAGATATCGAAAAATTACGAAACTTTGTAGTTAACTTTTTGATTTGAAATCATCTTGTCATGTAAAACTACGTTTGAATTTCTCAAATTTAAAATTCAAATTTTATAAACGGCCTCGGATGGAGATACCACCAAAATAAAAGTTGTAGGTCTCGAAAAGTTATGAAACTTTGTAGTTGATAACTTTTTCATTTGAATTTGTTTATGGCCTCAAACAATCAATTTATGCCGTGTTTAAGATAATATGTGGGGAACCAAAATCTAATATAGATACAAGTGAGTATTAGGTGGAGTGGTTAGAGGAGGGAACGCGCACAGCAGCCGCGTAGCGCGCGATTTTATGCGAAAAAATGCTCGAATTTCTAGAAAATGATTTGTATGGGCGGCTTAAATTTGTAGGGGCAGTTGGCCAGCCGCCCCTATAAGTTCGTGATTTGTAGCCACCCTTTGGTAGTGGAGGCTGATAAAACCACCCCTATAAACCATCTAGAGCCGCCCCTACTAATCATTTCTGTAGTAGTGTGTGTCCATCAAATAATTAGCTGAAATAATCTCAGCATACAACGATATGCACGCCCATTTCAGATGCTTATGCTAAAATTTGGCTTATACTGGTGTATATGCTGAAATGTTGTGAGAAAAAAACACTGTTGGTTTACTAAAAAATACTGCTAAAGTAGTGCAACGTAACATGGCTAATAAGCTATCCCTAATTCATTCCCTACGTCACTGGAGAGCTCGTATGCAGACAGCAGCTAGCCATAGATAAGTGTGGCAGTGTGGCGCAGTGCCATGATTGACACCGGCCCTGTTCGCTTGTCTTAAAAATGGTTTGTTCGGCTTTTTTTTTAGCCGGAACAGTATTTTTCTCTCACAACAATTCAGCCAGAACAGTGTTTTTCGGCCAGTTTCAGTCAAGTTTCAGACGAGCGAAGTGTGTTTGGATGCAATGTGTAACTAGTTGAAGCAGCAATCCTCAGATGCCCTACTAGGAACAGCGTTTAGGATCGCTATGGTTTTTTTATTGGTAGGTCCTGACCGAAATACCAAAATTTGGTCGAAAATTTTGTGATATTTCTGTAATGCTTTGTACAATATGCCGAGTTTTGAGTATTTCCAATCTTTATAAGTACTTATCATGATTTGTGAAGCCATGAAGCACTCTAAAAATAAAAGATGCCCAAGAGCTATCGAGTTGAAAAAAAAAGGCGATGCAAACTACTAGGGTTTAGACTTCAATATATCACTTTTTTTCAAAAGGTTCTGGTCGAAAGGCACTAAAATTCCTAAATACTATTCACAAAAATTTCGGTGATATTTTCAACCCTATCAAAGACCGAGCCTGCACCTCCGGGAGAGCCTATCGCACCCACCCCAGCAGGAGTTGACGGTATGCAATTAAATCGTCGATAATATATAGTACTAGACGCGAATACTAAACAGGACCAAGATTAAAGGTGAATGAGCAGTAAGTAAAAATTAATGAGAAGTGAAACAAATGTGCACGAAGTGGAAATAGCTGACCAGTGCAGAACAGTGTTTTGTACAGTTGCCAAAGCGCGGAGGAGACAGGAATTTATTCTTGGTTGAGTGATTGTATTATATGTAAGCGCTTGCATACTCTCACCTTAAACCCAGCAACTACTAGTGCTGTGTACACGCAAGCAGTGACAGCATGTTGACTTGTTGACCGTTGAAATGTGTCCGAGCTCCATGCACCGTGTCGATGATCTTGCAGTGTTGCATGGTTCCTTGTGTTTCACTTTTGATGATTAGAATATAATATGTAGATGCTGAACCTAGCGCTAGCATCCATGACCCAACAACTAGCCTGTTCGCTTGCTCGTAAACGATCGTAAATTTTCAGTCAGGAACAGTGTTTTTCTCTCACACCAAACCAGCCAGCAGTAAATAATCCACGATACGATACGGCCTCCCGAACAGGCTAATCATCTTTCCCTCCGTTTCCCAACTCTCAAGCTAAAAGCCTAAAACCACGTGCCAGACACTATGCTTCGTTTGGGCGCCGAGAAAACAATACTACTTCTTCCGTGAGGGGAAAAACGAATCTGCAAACAAACTAGCCACGGTAGTGTAGCGCAACGAAGGAAGATTGCCTAGTAGGCGGCTAGCTAGGCTTAGAGCGAGTCCGTATAGTCAGCAATTAAGTGATCTATAAGGGCAACCGCTTAAAAAAATATCGTTACATATAAAATAGAGGATTCAGATTAACTCTTTCTCTTCACTTTATCCTCTTTCCTTCCTCTTCTTTCTCCGTGCGCCCGCACCTGACCTCGCCCGACCTCAACAGGCCGCTCGCCCCTACTGCCTCCCCCTCCCGCCTAGTGACGGCATCCCCGCCGTTGTCCACCAGGGTCCCTCCTTAACATCCATCATATGTGCCTCCGACTTGTTATCTTCTTCATCTGTAGTAGAGTTCGTCCACCGCCTCCGCCGCTGCTTATGACCGCCACCATGCTAAAACCAATGAAGGTCGTCAAGCTATCTCCGTAACATTCTTACCCGTTCCACGCCCAACCGCCTTCCCCCACTACCCGACCGGCAATGCTAGCGCCACCTCACCATGCTGCCCCCACACCCGCCACCATTTTTATCGAGCTAGCCTTCTCCCCTAGCAATCTTTCTAAGCCTGCCGAATTTAGGTAAGCCTCCGAACGCCGAACCCTAACCTTGTCGGAGTTAGGAATGAAGACCACGTGGCATTCTTGAATTGGGCAAAGAAAATTGAGTGAGAGAGGCCTCAAAGCATTCGAGTGATGTTTACCTTTACTCCAAATCAAAGTCAAGGGTTGACAACCTTGGCTTCTTCGTTTTTCAGGATGACAAGTTTTCCAAAATATGAGGCCTATATGTTAGTTTCGTCTCTTTCTTGTACTGGTATGTGGGCTCCACATGTCACTATTATATTCTCGCACAATCACCATGGCACGCGGATGGATGAACTTAGCACGTTTATTAGGGACCTGGGTGTCTATTTTAAAAGTTTGGGAACCTTGATGGCACCTTGAGACAAGTTCAAGGATCTGTGATGCAGTTTAGGGGCTCTTTTAGGGCACAACTTATTATATTGAAAATTTTACCCCTAGGCGTTGCTATTTTTCCAGTACCTACATAGTTGAATAGCCATGGACGTCTCCAACGAATAAAGCTTCCTTTCTTCTTTGTTGCTTTTCCTTTTTCTCTTACTATTCCTTCCTCTCTCTTCCTGGTGACCAAGGCAGTCCTCTAAGAAAGTGCCACCATCTAGTAGCCTCCCTGGTTTTTCTCGTTCTCGTTGCTTACTCCATCATCTATTAGGCCACTCTCAATCCAGAAAAAAGATGGTTTTTATGGTCATTAATTAGTATTCCAACTTTAGCAAAATATTGATGTGGCATTGTAGTTGACAAAGATAGAGAAGAAAATAGTTTTGCATATAGGAAACTATGTCTACACAAGAACCAAGATATTACAAGATGTGATTGGTAACTGATAAGATAAAACACATTTGATTGGACAAAATTTAATTTTGAAAATACTCTCTATTGAAAGTGTGGTTAGATATGTGGAGTCTATTTGACTCGTATGGAGATCATCTCATAGTTTGTAGATCGAGACTCCCTTACTAATTTTTTTAAGAAAAAAAACTATTATTCATCTACCACCTAGCCCACCGACACACTATGGCCCCGTGCACAGGCAGTTTTTTTTTCTTTAACACTAGATCGGTAGTAGCACACAGATGCATGCACACACTATGGCGTGCGTGCGCCAGGCAACGGCCAAAAGCCCAAAACTACTGGCTGTGTCGTGTAGATTCCTTATTTTTTTTCCCCGGCAGCTGGTGGTGGGCAGAGGAGGCGCGGAGCCCGACGGCCGACGACGCGTGCCCGTGCCCGCCGCATCCAACTCCAACCCGCCACGCCACTAGTGGGATACCACTGGATCTGGATAGGAAAGCGTGGTCCGGCCCGGGGCCTGGAATGGAATCACACGAACACGTCCCCGGCTAAGGCTCCCGTCGCCTTCGCCGGCCACTCTCTAGTCTGCAGTCGGCATGCCTTTTTGCCCCCCGAAACCGAAACCACGTCCGGCCCGCCGGTTCCTTGCACCCCCCTAGCTCCTCGCCCACCGGCCACCGCCGACCGTTTGCCGTCCCGGCAGCCGATCGATGCGCCGATAGCTGCGGCCTACTATAAATTCACGGCCTCCCCTGCCGCTTCCAGCAACCAGACGTGCTCTGCTCGCTCTCTCTCTCTCTCTCTCTCTCTCTGAGCCAGTGCTGCGCATCGCACTCCACTAGCTTGATCACGGGCCTCACGAACAGGATCAAAATACACCATGTCGACGACGGTGAGCCGTGCGTCCCTCGACCAGAAGCTTGCCCTCGCCAAGCGCTGCTCCCGAGGTACATGCAAACACTGATCCGATCATCTAGCTAGTACACTGCACGCTCGTCCTTACAGCTTGTCTTCCGATGATGGATGTCTGCTTAGTGCTTACTAAGCTAAAATGCTTCATACTACTACTGCGTGATGTTTGAGTACATACATGTGTGATGCATGCAGAGGCGACCCTGGCAGGGTTCAAGGCAGCAGCTGTCGCAACTGTCGCCTCTGCAGTTCCCACCGTGAGTGTCGTTCAGGTTCCATCTATTTGAGCATATGCATATCGCCATACCATTATAAAGTTGTACGTATCTATCTGACAATTTCGAGATCCGTAACCTCTGTTGTTCAGCTGGCGAGTGTAAGGATGCTGCCCTGGGCGAAGGCCAACATCAACCCCACCGGCCAGGCTCTCATCATCTCCACAGGTACATATTCTTATTATCTAGTAGGGTAGTACATCCATCTTTTGATTCTTCCTCCACCTGAACAAGACTCGCTTCCCCTCTGAAAAACTTGGAATGTTACATGATAACCTAGTGGTAATAGTACTGATACAACATAGAACATGCCTTGCTCAACGTCAATAACTGAACCTTGCAGTTGCTGGCATGGCCTACTTCATCGCCGCCGACAAGAAGATCCTCTCGTTGGCGAGGCGGCACTCATTCGAGAACGCACCAGAGCACCTCAAGAACACCTCTTTCCAGGGCACCGGCCGTCCCCACCCGGCCTTCTTCAGGCCTTGATGATGATAAACAAACAAGCCATGCAAGATTTGTTCTACTGCTGTATGTGTGATCGAGCTACTTCATGCAATAAGCAGGCCCCTGCAACTGCAATGCAGACCAGCAGGTGGCTTGCTGCGAGCTTATTAGCATAGCTTAGCTTCTGCAGAGTGGTGCCATCTGCTGTGAACGTGCATGCATTATATTCATGCTGTGTACTAGCTAGTATTGTCTGTAACATCTATCGCAGTAATGAAATACTAATAGCCCTTATTGTCATGGTGTACTTTGTGCACGCTTCATAAGACTCGTATAAAACTGTTCACTCGAATAAAATGAAAGCAGTTGAAAAAAGGTTTTCTTACTACAGGGAGACGAGTACGAATGAAAATCCCTAATGCTACAGCTGATCGAGTAAACTAAATATGGCATGAACTGACTCACAGTGAAAAATTTTCTGTCATGGGGATTAATCGAGGAACCGGTGAAGATATAATATCGCGCATGTCATCATCGGAATTTGCAAGTTTTTTTTTTTTGATGCCGGAATCTGCAAGTTGAGCATATATAATCTTCTTGCCGGCAGGTGCAGTCTCCCGGTCATAATTTAGGCTGTGGTTAGTTGGGTGAAATTTGGGAATTTGGCTACTGTAGCACTTTCGTTTTTATTTGGTAATTAGTGTTCAATCATGGACTAATTAGGCTCAAAACGTTCGTCTTGCGATTTCCAACCAAACTGTGTAATTAGTTTTTTTTCGTCTATATTTAATGTTCTATACACGTATCATAAGATTCGATGTGATAGCTACTGTAGCACTTTTTGGAAATTTAGTTTTAGAACTAAACGTGGCCTACTACCACCCACCACTCCCTAAAGCTAGCGTTGCTGGTTCCAGTGACGCAGGATGGGCTTCAAGAAGTCTGCAAAGCAAGATGCATATGCAAAAAGGCGGCGGTTTGCTCCGTGCCGCTGACGGTTTTGAACAATCCAACGGTGGATCGTCATTTGGTTTCTTTTTCACCTTTTCTTTTTTTTTATTTATATATAATCATTCCATCAATCTTGCATGTCCGTATGTCACAAACTGACACTCTGACAGTGTCTACTGACTACTGCACCACTCATATATGCTTTTTTTTTAGGGGAAAACCACTCGTACTCCTATATGTTAGTAGTACTCCGACAAACTCCTATATGGCTATATACTACGAGTCGTCGAATTGCATGATCAAGCAGTAGCCGTACGCGGCGCGTACATGGCTGTACTGTCAGTGTCAAGCATGGCTGTATATAAAAAACTGAATATATCAGTGTCATTGTTGGAGGCCTAGATGGATCTGCCCCATGCTTCACACCGAAACATGATTTTATCATGCAACAAAGATTATACACAAATTTTGCTGCGGGACATCCAATCCAACTACAATGAAATTGATGCTATTGTGATCAAATCTCTCAGCAAGCTGTTGTGATTGGTTTTCAATGTGCAGAATGATGGTTGCTTTGCTTGAGATCGATGGGGGGAATTGATGCTAGTAGAGTAGGGTGGTTTGTCTGTCTTGTTGACAGACACTGAGGAAAAGAAGGAATAGCTAATTGATGTTCCGCAAACCTTTGGCTATTCTGGTCACAAGTTTTCTAAAATTCTTGAAATAATGGGAAAACTCGATTGGTCAAAGGCGAAAAAGAGCAGGCATGATGAGATAGATCTCCCTCCTTGTTGAGGTCTTTTTTGGTTGATGTACCTCAGTTGATCGATCGTCCTTGTTGGCCGAGGAAATGTGTGACCAAGCTACTATATATATATATATGATCACCATAACAGCCAGGAATTAATCCAAGCTACGAGAAGTTTGTGCTATGCTACTCAATCATGGGTGAATGTTGGAGGACTCCATACTTCCTGTGCTACCAATGATTTTAGCACCAGGAAGATCGCCTCTTCCTGTGCTACCAACAACAATAACCATTGGAATGTCAATACTCCGCATATGCTGAGATATAATGACATATACTTGCAGTTGCAGTTCAATGAAAGCCAAATGTTTTTTTAGCTTGTCCCGGGCAGGTTGCAGTAATAAACAAAAACATTACCTTTAGTAACAACAAAGACTTAATCCCAGGCAGGTTGCAGTAATAAACAAAAACACGCAATCTAAAAACTACATTAAAATTGCTAGGATTCAACCAATGATTCAACCTCACAGAAATATTGATCGTTGCTTCTGCAGCCACTTCCAAGTCATCTTAAATCACTTAGAAACAAAGGTGTCTAAAGCCTGTGACCCTGTACAACTAAACTTGAGCACATTTTTTCTCACCATGTCACTTATTTTCAGTATCAACCAAGGCGAATACTTCCAGGATTATGACATCTACATGGTAGACTAAATTGCTAAAAGGCTCGCCATTGAAATAGGATATGAAGCTCCAATCACACAAAGGAACTACTTTATCATCATTGTGCTTATTCTGAACTGGTACACAGAGCGTTGCAAAACAAATAATCGGAATCAGAAGATGAAAAAAACAGAACTAGGTTGTATATCCCTTTAAATTTTAAAACAAAGTCAAGGAATTCCATGCAGGTTGCAGAAAGAATAGAAACCAGAGTCAATTTATTTATTGTTATATGCAGCAAGTTTTGCTCAGGAGAGTGAAAGCTAGTAGATAGATTCCATCCTAGACAGGGACTTTTCTAGTAGGGAGGCAGGATTCTTCCTTGTAAATTTGAAAAGTTATTGCTCCGTTGACATCAATCAAGCTACAACTTCCTCTCTAGCTTCGCCCATCGCGGCTCTCTGTCCTGCTGCCTAAGCCTCTCGCCTTCGCAGGGCAAAGATAGTCATTGAATTTCTCCTGCCAACATGTTAAACAATACGTCAGAATAAAATCTTGATTCCTTAAGAAGAAGGATGCATAGAAAGAAATATCTATTCCACGCAGCATCTACAGAATAGCTGGCTTCAGCTTGGACAAGTTGGTAGCCCTGGGAACCTGACCACATTACTAAATACTAACGTGCTGCTGGCAATGGCAACCCAAAATTACATAGCATCTGCCTGAAATCAGGCCTTGCTAGCCCTCGATAGACCTAAGCTAACCACAGAAATCTCACCCTGCAGACAACAAACTCCATCGCACCCAACGTCTGCCCCAAATCTATACCTGTCACTGGACATTCATACCCAGTCCCCCAAATCCACGTCGACACCAAACAGGTAGGGTATGGGTAAAAAAACTTTATCCATTAGGGTAACAGGTATACCCACTGGTAAAAGGGTATGGGAGGGATCACTCGTTTGTCCAGTCTTACCCATCACAAACTTTTCTTCACAATGACAAGGAGAGACGCCAGCGGTGGCTCAGTACTCGGCGATCGGCGAAGAAGATAGCAGAAATCGACGAGGCAGAGCGCCCCTTCAAAAGGTACATCAACTCCCCATCTGATCCCAATCGAATCATGTTCTTCTTAAGCTTCTTCAACTTGCAGACAGTTGCGGCTAGTGTGATTTGGCATGACGGAACACGTGGCGGTCACGCGCTGCTTTGTCGCCATGGTGATGATTCTGGCAAGAGGAGCGCCTGGCACCAGAGCTGGCCGGTTAATCAATTGTTCAGTGATTCAGTCTACCAGTGGAGAAGCTTGGAACTAAAGCCAACAGGGGGGCAATCATTAATGAAGAAGGCTAACATTCAACATTTATCAAGGGAAATGACTGCAACTAATGGAGTTTAAGGGGTGGTCGAGGCCCCTATTGGCCTGTGTGAAGCTCTGCCACTGCAGTCTACTCATCCATTTTCTTAACAGTCGTCTAATTATCCATTGGCTTCCCCAGCATCCAATGAATTTGGGCAAAATGGACATGGGTACAATTGGGGAGGGTGGGGAACGGGGATCAGCCAGGTAGGTTTGGGCTTGATCAAGCTTGGATTTGTCCAAACCCTACCCAACGACAGGTCTACCCATATCTAGGGTTCATAATGGTCACCACCGATCAAACGAAGGAATAGCTGAAACAAACACCGTACACGGCGCTCCAGGGAGGGAATCGAGGGCGTTACCTTGCCGCCGAAGAGGAAGATACCGGCGAGGCCGGCGGTGGCGACACTGCCCCAGATTACAGCCGTCGACGAGAGCAGCGACCAGTTGCGGTAGATCATCTTCGCCCTCCTCCAATCTCTCTCTTCCGACCCTTGGCCTCGCCTCGCTACGGCGCGTGCAGCTGTGGCGGCCCTCCTCGATGGAGCTGGTCAGCTGGATGGATGGAGAAGAAGAGAAGCAGAGAGGAGGCAGGTCAACCAAGGAAAGAGCCATGTGGCCCAAAGTTCTGCAGGGCCCAAACGTATGAGGCCCATCATTACAGCCCATGATTTCCGTGGGCCGGCCTGTCTTCATCAACAGGCTCTGATGTCTCAAACCGGACAACTGGATGCCCATGCTACGGCGGCGGGGGGTGAGCCGGTGACGGCTCCGCGCCTCTCCAAGGTACACCGCCGGCGAGCGAACGCCGTCGACGGATCGAAGGCTAGGGCCATGAAGACATTATTACCTGCGCATTAACTGCCTCGTTGTAGGTTTGTAGTTGTAGCCAGCGACACTCAACTTACCTGCGCATTTGGGTGGAATCATGGTTGTCAAAATCTCGATTCTATGTCTGATTTTACTTCTCTATGTGATCAGAGTTTGAGATTCTAATTCTTTGATACTAGTATGTTTCTGTTATTTTTATGTCTAAGATTCAATGATTCCAAATTTATATAAAGAACTCTTATTCGACTTAGAATCTACGATTTTAACAACCTTGGTTACAACCAAACTAGCTATGAGTCGTTCATTCAATTGTGTGTTCAAAGGTATGGCATTGAGAAGTAGGGTATATATCAATGGTGTAGGAATATTGGTTTGACTAATAATCCTTGGCAAGCGATTAGTGACAGAGACGACGTTCAATGAGCCTTAATTCGGTTGAAATTTCCTTGATATTTCTGTAATGCTTTGTAGAATATGTCGACCCTT